AAACCTTTCCTCCTTTAACTTCTGGTGTTGGGTGCAATAAGAAAAGTAACCAAGACAGGTAGCATTTACACAATAAAAGATGGTATTTTTCTCATAGATTTTGACTTTACCTAGCATAAATTCAACTTTCCTGTTTTCCTTGTATGATCTAGTGCATGTCTACCTCTATAGCTTCAGTTCTCTGACTCATCCTCTTACTCCCTATATTCTAGTCACACTGGTTTCGTTTCTGTTATTTTGAAATTTCTGAATTCTTTCCTCTTTCTGCAATTTTTGCACCAGCTGCTCCTTGCCCATGAAATGCTCCTTCCCTAGATAACTACTCAGTGGTGTCCTGTCACTGCTAGGACCCCACAGTCCTGCTCTTGAAGGGACACCTTCTTTAGCACCTCACCATTCACCATGCCTGATGTCTTCATCAACCTAAAATCAAATGTTATTTCCTAGATGGTAGGTGAGCTCTAGGGTCATCTTCTCTCCAGCTGTGTTTCCAGCAGTCAGTACATCACCTTGCAGACAGCTGGACCTGGCTAGGGCTTGAGGGTGGAGGGAATGAATGAACCAGTGAGTGGGGCTGCATAGAAGAGTCAGGCTGAGAACTTTAGGAACTAAGTGCCCTTAGCACTACCCTCTTGTCTCCCACTTCTAGCTCCAGAAGCTCTTTTCACCCTAACAATCAAAGCCTACTGCACAGCTGCTGTGCTGTGTCTTTCAAGCCCACGAGAGGAAATGGGAGAATGGAAGGTCTTTAAGAGCACAGAGATCTTGGTGGAGCTCTACACTCGCACCTTAGCTTGACGCTGGGGTTAGAACATATGACCAGTGCATGTGAACATGTTCTGCTCCATTTTCCACTGGGAAACTACTAGCAGGTTATAGCTAGCAAAAACTCATCAGATGTTCACTTAGAATAAATGTAGGTACTATTCATTCTACAAAAAAATACATTTTATATGAAATCCTTTATTTTTGATGCCAGAAATCGAACTCAGGACCTCGCACTTGTGAGGCAGGTGGCAGGAGCTAAATACTGGCCCTATGTGAAATCTTTGATACAATCACATTTCTGTATATGCATCACATCTTGTTCTGAGAATCACACAGATTGAAAGGAAATTCAGCCAATCAGAATTAGTGTGTCCAGCACACAGGAATGTATGGCTTTGCCTGCTAACAGGAGAAGGGAGCAGTCTCTAGAGAAAGTTGATTTACATCCTAAAAACCATAAACCAGTAGAAAGTGTCAACTACTTATGGCAATGAATAATGCCTTAAATGACTGAGATATTCTCTTTGCAAAGAATCTCCGTAGACTGCAAAGAGTGACACAAGAAGGGCTAGGAGGAGGATGAAAAAACCAAGTGGGTAAAAGGAGCAGCACACGAGAAGGAATTTCAAGAGGAGGATGTGTAGGTGGCTGGCGACCACAGACAACCGTGCTCCACTTTACTTGTAATTAGGAAGTGGAAAAATCTCAAGATAGCTTTCCACCACAAGACTGGCAAAATGTGCCAGATTTCAAATTTGGACACTGCTAAATATTAGCAAGAATGTGAAGCAATGAAGCATCTCTATTGTGAATAACACTACTATGAAAAATTAGGAATGTGCTAACAGTTGAAGATGCATCTATCCAGTAATCCCTCAACTGCACCTGAATACCCACACAAGAGGACATTACAAGAATAACACAGAAGCACCATTTATAGGAACAAAATTTACAAGTGGAACAACCTAAAAGTCCAAAGAAAGTGGACACATAACTCCTGGTGTATTCATGTGATGGGGCAGCTGTGAGTATGAGTCAACTAGAACAACACTCTCAAAATGATGAATCTCAAAAATGTGATGTTGTGCAAAAGCAGATCATATGAACATACAAGGTAGGTACTTTTGATTTGAAGACTCAAAAACCTAAAGAAGAGCACCTTATATCACTTAATGGACACACACACACACACACACACACACACACACACACACACCTGCCCCAGCATTTTGAGCTCCCAGTTGAGGGCAGCGAGGAGCTGAGGAGTGGGAGCCATGTATTCAGGAAGCCTGGTGGACCCTGTTTCTGATGCTGGGTCTTTCTTAGGATCATTTTGAATTATGTAGCTGTACATATTTCATGATAGGATGCTTACTTCAAAAGAAAATTCTTAAAGGGAAAAGACTGAGTTTTAGAGTGGCAGAATTCAGCAAGTGTCAGCATCAAGCAGTGCATGGCCATCACAAAGCAAATCTGAACTCACTTCCTGGGAGCTGCTGTGAATAAATTTCATCTGAATCCCTTCCTTCCTTTTTCTCTTTAGCCATCCTGTTTCTGGGATTTCTCAGGGTAATGGGTAGCCTGCAGTAAATATTATAGTTTCTATTGCTGTTTTTAAGTTTTGCCTTAGTAAAAAAATGTTTTTTATTAATATGCATTAATGATACACATTAATGGAGTTCAATAAATGCATACTGTACACATGGATCACATCCAGCCTTCCTCTGCCCTGCAGTCACTATTCTACACTCAGGGTAGCACTTTTTGTTGTTGTAGAGGAAACATGCAATACTTACTTTTCTGTGTCTGACTTGCTTAACATGTTTTTAAGTCCAAAGCTTTAAATCCCCAAATTGGTTGTGTGTTCAGAATGAAACGATTCCTTTACTACCCATCAGAAAATGCACTGAAGGGGCTGGGGATTTAGCTCAGTGGTTCTACCGCCTGCCTTGTAAGCACAAGGACCCGAGTTCAATCCCCAGTACCAAAAAAAAAAAAAAAAAAAAAAAAAAAAAAAAAAAAAAAAAAAAAAAAAAAAAAGAAAGAAAGAAAGAAAATGCACTGGGCATGGAGACCATCCCTGGAGGAGTAAGTTTCAGGCCCAGGCCCACGGAGTAAAGTGCAGTGTCAGTAACATTCAGTAAGAACCGGTGCTGCAGGGTAGGCTTGGCAAGATCTGGGATGGCCCGTCTTAACTTCACCAGCTTTGGGCAACTGTTCCAACTAGAGTTGGCATGCATATCAGCCCTCAAACTGGAAGAACAAGACAAGATTCAAAAGCATGCATTCATCAGGTGAAAATGGTAGCCTAATAAAAGCTTTCAGAAATACCCTTTAAAGCCTGATATGGCACATGCCTATAATGCCAGCACTCAGGAGGCTAAGGCAGTAGGATTATCATGAGTTCAAGGCCAGCTGGGCCTACATAGTGATTTCAAGGCCAGCCTGAACTACATAGTGAGACCCTGTCTCAAAAAATGTTGAAAGGAAAAAAAAAAAGCAAGAATAAAAACCCCCAAAACAGAAGGAAAGAATAGCCTTCAAAACTGCTCATAGCAGTAGTTCTGTATGAGAATCACATTTTTATAGTAATGCTTTCATTAGGGCTGAGGACATAAACCTGGAAGAGTGTCTATGTATAAAGAATCCTTATTTAGTGCTGAGGTTTCTGGAAAATAATTGATCTCCACTTACAGCTTAATAAGGAGGTATAGCATCCCTAGAGAACCCCCAAGACACCATTGAAAGATGTCTGTGAAATCAAAACTTTCCATAACCACATTAAGTTCTTACGTTTGTACCCTCCTCTCTCTGGAATATGTGGCTTTTGCCCGAGATGCCATGACACATTGTGTCATAAGAGATGGAATGCAGCAGCAGGTGTGAGGATCCACTTAATTTTCTGCTAAGTTGGACATTCACAAGATTTGCCAAAGTGTAGGCCACTCTCACTTTTCCCAGCAAGTCTGCTTTAGAAATTGTTAGTTACTTTTGGTGAAATTGTATGGTACTTAAGTGAATGTGTAAAGGGATTATTGTTATTTTTTAAAATAAATCAGAAAGCAAATGTTGAGTTCTTCAACACAGTAATGTGCTAGGAGAGCCTCACAACTAAGGGTGTAGAAATTCATGAACCACTGGCCATCTGGGGAAGCCTGGGTGGTGGCTTCTGTGTCTGTCTCCAACCTCAGGAAGACAGCTCGGGGCGGCCTCGTTAAACACAGGTTGAGAGGGGTCACATCTGATGTCCCCCCCTTCTCAGTTCCTTCTGGGATACTCTGGGCTGTCCCTAGATGGCCGGGCCAGCAGGTCCCTCTGATGTGGTCCTATGACCAGTTCAAGGTGATAACAATCTCGCCTCGGAGGATCACTATGGAATGCCTGCCTCACAGAGGTCCAGAAACATGACTCAGCCCCATTAAACACTCCTCAGAAGCCCTTTAGGATGGCTTCCACTTTTGGGACTTTCCACCTTTACCAGTGGAGGACCCGAACTAACTGCTCCCATGGAATGAATGAGCAATTCATTTACAAGGACAATCTGGAGTGGATTTAAGTAGACATTCTTGTGGATGAAGGACTTGTGAGCTGCCGGGAAATCAGGCAAAAAAGCTCTCACCCCTTCTTCCCACGATGGGTGCCCGGCTCCTTCCGGGGCTCCACTTGGGCAGGTAGGAACCCTCCCACGCCCACGGGGAGAGGAAACACCCCGGCGTAGAAATGCCCTGCCAGCGTCTCCGGAATCACAGAGCGAGGGCCACGCGTGCGAGGGCGGCTAGGACGGGACCGAGGGACTGCCCCTCTCCCGCCAGGTGTTGATCCAGCGGCCACGCCCAGGTCAGTGGCCCCCGGGCCTTCTCCGTGGTTTCCTGTCTGGCCTTGCCAGGGGGTTTGAGCTGGCACCTGCCACTGAGCCGGGGTCTGGGGTTTCAGTTTAGATCGCCAGGCTTGGGCAGGTCCCCGAGGCCGCAGGTGCGCGGGGCGGGGACGGTCTCTGGGTCGGAGTCTGCGGTGCGGGGAAGGACGCCCCGGCCTCTCTGCACGTCGCCGCGCCCTCCCCAGCGTCCCCTCTGTGAGTCGTGACTCAGCGAGGGCAGCGAAAGCGCCGGGCTTTGAGGACCCTGTGTCCGTGGCTGGGGCTCCCTGAGAAGAGGGCGAGGTCAGGGCCGGGTCTGGATTCCGAGACTAGGGCCTCTGCCCCGCTCACCCCGTGCTTTCTTTGGCAGCCCGAGATGCCGACGGCCGCGCGGCTGCTGCTCCTTGCTCTGGCGCTGGCGCTGGCGCTCCCGCTCCTGGTCCTGGCAGGTAGGTGCGGCGTTGGACCCTGTCCCCAGCATCCTCTGGTCCCCACTGTGATCCTCCCCAGGTGGCGGGCGGAATTAGCACATTTCCGGGCCAAACTCTCTGCAGCTCAGCTCCACCCCAGGGCCTTGAGGACAAGACGAGGGCTCGGGTTATAAGGAACTGTCTGCTTCGTGCGATAAAGGCTTATTTCATGATCTAGGCTAAAAGTGAAGAAACCGTCAAGAGAAGGCAGTTCTAAGAAGAACCGAGCAACCTTGTAGAACCAAGCAGATTTTAAAATAACCCAGTTGAGAATGAGAAACCTTTTTATTGAGGCAGAAAAGCAGGAGGCTGAGCAGAAAGAAAACAGGTCTAGGAGCTCTCCTTTATTCCGGGAAGGAGGAGAGGGCTGGAGGCTGGAGTTTTCACAAAAGACTAAAGATAGAAATTCCACTGGATCCAGCTGTGTGCATACCCGTTTATAGCAGCACAATGAATAATAGCTAAATCTTGGAAGCAGTCTATACTTCCATCAGCAGATAAATGGCTAAAGAAAACGTGTTTACACACAGTGGAGCACTACTCTGCCCATAAAAATGGATAACCTCGAGCCATTTGTAGGAAAATGTATGTCCCTTGAGGCCACTACATTAAGTGACATAAATCAGACACAGAAACTTAAATATCACATGGCTTCTCGTCTATGAGAAACTCAAGGAATAAAGAGTAAAATAAAAGACAGATATTAGAAAACAGGAAGATAGTTTTTGGGAAGAGGAACAAGAGATGGAGGCTGAGGAAGGGGAAGGAGACAATGAAAGAATTAATGCATTATGTGCATGTACCAAGTCATGATGGATGTAAGCATTATGTACTGCAAATATGCACCAACAAAAATAAAAAGAATAGGGCTGGGGATTTAGCTCAGCGGTCCGGTGTCCTGCCTTGCAAGCGCAAGGACCTGAGTTCAATCCCCGGTACCAAAAAAAAAAAAAAAAGAATAGAAAGCAAAGAGGAAATCGCTGGTGGTGAGTATGTGAGAGTGAGCTCTGTGCTGTGGATCCATTTTAGGACCATGGAGCTCTGCTTAACTCCAAGCCTGAAGAGAATCCCCGGGAAAGTCACACATTGGCCAGAAAATCAAAGAGGCATTTGTTAAAATGACTAAGACGCCAGTTTCCCTTCCTGGCTAATGATGCTTGTTTTATCCTTCTCTGCCTAGGTGCCTGCCAGGATATTAGAATGACAAATGAGGTTCTTGCAGCCAACCAGCCCTTTGCTGTTAATTGCACATACCCTCCCCTGACATTGGGGGACGTGAATGTGACCTGGTACAAAGTGCCCAGCAATATTGCATTGTCCAGAAACATAAGGTGGAGAATTCACCAGGAGCACACCTGGATTTTGATTCTTCCTCTTAGTTTGGAGGACTCAGGGATATATCAGTGTGTTATAAAGTAAGTTGCTCATCTAAAATAGAATGAAACCCATCTCTCTATGTATCTGTCTTTTAAGAGCATCCATCACAAACCCAGAAAATGCAGTGAGACAATATAGCATAAGGTTATAATTGTGATAAATGATTTCTAATGAATACATTTGAAATGGCTTAAATCGGCAAGAGATTTAAATCTATTGTAAATAGATTTGTAAGCCATTTTTTGCAACATAAAATGAGTCTTTTCCTATTGAAATTTTGCTTTGGGACAGACCAGCTTATAAAGTGTTTCTGTACCAGTGCACCAACTGCCATCTTGCTTGGGTGGCAAAGTGTTGGTGATGGGTGGCACAGGCAGGGAGGAGTCAGGCTTCTTGGGAGCTCTTTCATAAGGAATCAGCTTTTAGTAAGCACAGTGCAAGCTCAAACCCACACCAGGCCCTGTGCTAGGAGGTGACGTCAGTGAGTGACAGGGCCTGCCGGGCCTTCCCGTCACTTTTGGCTTTTGAGTATTCGAAGTAAAGCTGGTGGGAGATAGGTGAGCCAGGAGGGCACTGTTAACTGGAAAGCATAAGTCTGGCCAGGGCAGTTTGTCTGCTTGATTGATTTTGTGTGTGAGTGTGTGTGTGTGTGTGTGTGTGTGTGTGTGTGTGTGTGTGTGTGAAACTATTAAACTTGTAAAACCCTGATACCTGGATAAAACATGTGTGGACTAAATTTGGCCAGAGGGCCACAATTTGTAACTACCATACTAATGTGCATGACCTTAACAAATTATTTGACCTCTATGAGCCTTGGTTTTCTTATCTGTAAAGTACAAGCAGTCCTGGCCTGATAGAGGTGAAGTGGAGATACACTGAGCTCCCAGGTGAAGTAGCTACTTGGTTTTCCCTCTTATTTTAGGACCAGAGGGGGCCCTTTCTGTGTCCCACTTGGAGTCATGCCAGATTCCTGGCTTTCATCCAGACTTGGATGCAGACTTGATGTGCAGAAGGACTCACTGAGCGTGCAGGGGCAAGGAGTAGCCAGCCGCTTGTGTTGATCAGTAGGTGGCCCATTTATGAAGGCTCCACTCCTCTGATACAGTCTAGGCAAGTGATGGAGAACCTTTTAAAGTTTTCAGTGATAACGCATGTGCTGTAGGTTCATCACCACTGGTGGACTGTGAATTATTAACTGGAGCTGGAGATCATATATTAAGAAATCCACTTGCATGTCAGAAATGGGATTAAAATAGTTAAATCTGGGAACTCTTAAATGAAGAAAACTCATTGTTCATAGCCATTAGACTGGGGTTCTGTCTGCTCTGCAAGAAACTGAGCATGGATTTTCCCAGATCTTTAACATCCAGGTATGGCACATATTCAAAAAACTGAATATTTCTACTTTAATTTCAAAGTTACATAAAATTAAAGAAGCAATATGGTTAGCTCCTGTCTATCCTTTATCTAGATTTTCATTTTAAAGTAAAGTTTTTACATCTTCCTTATTTCTGTTTTCATATATGTGCATCTATGTTTTTTTTCACCTGAAACCATTTCATTTGTACATATCGTACCTATTTTCCTACTTAAGAATTCAATGCATACTTCCTATCTACTAGAATATTCTCTTCTTACCTGATCATAGTGTAGTAAACAAATAAATCCAGGAAATTCAGCCATTGGACAATACTTTAATCTGTACTTTATATTTTAGTTGGAGTAATGGTTCCCTCAACAACCCTTGTAACTTTTCTCTTTCCAGTACAGAATACAGGATTATGTATTGTGTTTGGTTCTATAAATTTAGCTGGCCATGTTCATTCTGATTTCTTGGCTAAGGTGCTTCCCATTTCACACCTGTAGAGACTCCACATGTCTACCCCGATGGATGAGTTGTAGGTGCATATTGTCTTGTACGAGGTAGGTTGTGTGTGCTGTGCCTCAGAAATGGTTTGAAATGACACAAAGAAAAACAGAATCACTTTTTTTGACTGCTTAAGAGTGTATGGGATTTCAATCTGCTCTTTTCTCACAGGAACACCAAAAGTTGTTACACAATACACGTCAACCTCACTGTTATCAAAAACTACTCATGTACCAGCTCTAGAAGCAGTTTGCCAAGCTTATTGAATGAGTACAGTCAAATATTAAACTTTGGAAACTCGGGCAGTCTGCGATGTCATGTGCACTTCCCAGACAGTTGCCTTCTGGATTCCATAAAGTGGTATAAGGTAAAAAAAAAAAATTCTGTTATGGTTTTTCTCCTCTTTCCAAAATTCCACTTACTATTTTTTAGGTTAAATTGCATTTTTAAAGGCAGATTGGTTAAGAGATTTGTGTGTCTAATATTTGTTAGTCTCCCACTAATTATTTATTTGAAGCTTTATGGATATTATCTTTGTAATATTTTATTATTTGTACCTCCTTCCAGTTACCCTTGCTTTCAGGGTATCCCCCCACGTTAATTAACTTATTTGAATGGCTACTCTCTGAAAGTGGTCCAGTAATTACAGATTATACCATCACTACCTGGAAACGCCATTGCATCTTTGCCGACATGTGGCGGCCTCTTCCTGAGGTTGTGCTTGTATAATGCTGTACAGGTTTCTGGGCCTTCTTCTTTATGCGAACATAGCCTCCTCTCGGCGTCTTCCTGCTTCTTTCCTCCGGTTGGTCTGTGCTGTCACACAAGACAGCCTGTGATCTAAGACTGAGTCCTTTCCCCACCCCGCTGTGAGCACCATCTAGGTCTACTGTCTGGGTTGTGAGTTTTCTTTATGGGAAAGTTGTTATCCATAGGCTCAGTTTCTTAACGGTAAAGGGATTTATATAAATGTCTTACTCTTTTCTTGAGCAAGTTTTGCTTTCCAGAAAGTTGCCCATTACGTCCGAGGTCTCATATATGCTAGCAATCTGTCATCACTTCTTTATTGTCTTTTTTTCACAATGAGGTTGATTTTTAGTCTCTTGCTATGTATATATTCTCTTCCTCTTTCGCTTTCTCACGCACACACATACCTCACTCATTGCTTGGAAGATTTGTCAGTTCTAGCAGTCTTTTCAAAAGCCCACTTTTTGGCCTTGTTAATCTTCTCTGTTGTATGTTTTTGGTTCATTTCGGTTGCTTCCAGTTTTTTTTTTTTTTTTTTTACAAGGAATGTGGAAATGAGAGTGCTGTACCTAACTCTGCTGGGCTTGAGTTCCTCACAGATGCCAGTGGTCCTCTGGCCTTACGGTTGCTAGGCAGCGGAGATGAAGATGAAGGATATACCCTACTTCACTGATACTGCTGAGTAACTCTACAAGATTTCTGGTCATTCTGTACTCTCCCCAGGAGTATTCTAAGTTACCTACTTCATATTCTAAAATTAATTCAAAAATTGACTTGATGGGTAGAAAACCTTTTCTTAACATTGTTTGAGGTTTCTTTTTAAAAAAATTTATTAATGAGTAGTGAGATTGACCACTTTTTTCATGTTTACTGGTCATTTCTTTTTTAAAATCTTATTGAGTTTATTGGTAATTTTAAGTATACAGTGCAGTTACATTCATCATTGGGATTTGTACCCTTATGTGACATCTTGGTTCTCAAACTGGCTATTTCTGAATCCTCTTCTGTACCGCCCACTCACATCAGTAGCTTGTAGGAGATTTTTATATATTTCTGTGTCATAGGGTACCAGTGTTTGGTGTGGATTAAAAAGTATTTTCATGATGTATAACATATACAGATAATTTTAGGCTTTGTTTGATTTATTTTTTTTCAGCTTTAATTGAATTTATTGGTACATTTTAGGGATACAGTACAGTTACATTCATTGTTGGGATCTTGTACCTCCACATGACAAGTCTTGATTGTCATTTTTTCCCCTTACTCCTGCCCTCCCTTCACCCCGTCCTCCCCTCCCCTTCTACAAACACTTTATTTCCATCTTTTCATTATCTCACATTTTTTTCTTTTCCCTTATTACCCTTCCCCTACCCATCCCACCTTCCCTACACCTTTAGCTCCTTTCTTCCCATTTTGAAATGTCAGTAATCTTATTAGGATCTTATGTGTTATTGCAGATTATTCACACCAGAGAAACTATTCGGTATTTAGACATGTGTGACTTATTTATTTCACTTAGGAGTATATCTTCAATATGTATCCATTTTCCTATGAATGAATCTATTTTCTCATTCTTTATGGCTGAGTAATATTCCATTTTATAGAAAAACCACATCTTCTTTATCCATTTTCCAACAGATGGGCAAATGGGCTGTTTCCAAGAGTTAGCTATTACAAACTGTGCCGCTATAAACATGGGTGAAGAGTTAGCTATTACAAACTGTGCCGCTATAAACATGGGTGTGCATACTTCTCTGTGATATGGTTCTTTTAGTTCTTTGGAAAGATACCGAGCAGAGGAATGGCTGGGTCAAATGGAACCTCCAGTCCAAGCTCTTTGAGGTATCTCCATATTTGATTTCCA